AGTTATGAATTTAATGGCACAATTATAGAAATATATACATACCCCACCTGACACCTAACTAGTAACTTCTGTTTATATACTTCGTATATTCTCTACCCAAAGTGGTCGAGTAAAATCATTTCTCTCGTTGTTCCAACAAGATCAACAACGACTTGGCCCTTTTTAATGCTTCAATAAGAAAGGGCTTTTCAGAAATTCTTATAAAAAATCTTTATTTACTCGCATTAAAATGCCAAAGACAATAAATCCATTACGAAATCATTTAAACAATTAAAATTGCATAATAAATACTTAGGATAAATACTGATGGCAAATACCTGGAAATCTTAATTAACTGCAAAATATCACAATACGACCTACGGACTACGCAACTAAACGCTAATTAAATGTATAAGGCACTTAGGAGCGACAACTATACAGCTGAACAACTGAAATGGGAGCAGCGGCAGCAGCTCCACAGCTAAGACGAGACGCTCACTCCTAATATGTCCAAGATGCTGAAGCTGCTCCGTTTGGGCTTCGGCACCGCAGCGACAGCAACGGCGGCAGCAGCAGCAGCGGCAACAGCTACGTTGGCCATACCAGTGATTCGGCTAATCGATTCGGATTCCAAGTCGGGCTCTGGTGCGCTTGTCGTGGTGCCCACCACATCTACAAAGGTATCGGTCTCTGGCTCGGCGGCGGAATCGCAGCCAGAMGAGGAGGAGGAGGCACGCGACGAATCGGGCGATGGCGGCGAATAGGCCCAACTTGGATAGCTGGCGATGTGTCTGGCATAATCAATGCACGGCAGGGGCGGCGGTGGCGCTGACAGATAGAAATTGGCCTCCAGAGTATCCAGCAGATAATGGCGCGGCATCAGCAGTCCGCTCGCTGGCTGCTGTTGCTGTGGAGCCAGCAAAGAGAGCTCTTCGGGAAGACGCAGCCGTTTGGCCGACGGCGAGGCTGTGAGCTCCATGTTGTTGACGGTTCCCGTACCCTCTGCATGCGCGGGGGCAGAGGTGGACTCGTTAAGCTTGCGCTTGCAGCGTGACTGGCCCGTCTCGCGGAAGCCCTTGGCAAAGGGATTGTTGTCGATTTTGAGCTTTGTGATGCGATCGTTCTGTGAGCGAAGAGCAGAAGATTAGTAATTGATCAATTGATGAATTGAGGCCCAAGACTACGTACCTGATACGCTGTGACAGCTATAAACTCTGTTTCGGGGAAAACGAAGGCCTSCTGCGGGGCCCAGGGTATCTGGGTCAGATCGGCTGTGCGAATCACATGCAGTCGTGGCTGATACTTGTGCATGCTGGCCAAGACAATCTGTGTGTAGATAAGCGAATATTTGCGATAAGTAACTGAGAGGTGATTATATGCAAAGACTACACCTACATGTCCATTGTTGTCCAGCGTATTGTTGGTTAGCTTGACTTTGCTGAACAGCAAAGCCTGCGATTGCCAATG